TTCTTATGTGATGAGTTATTGAAAGGTAGATGCATCTGCATCTTGTTGGTATAAGTAGTACAAGTTAATTATTTTGAGTTATTATCAACTACACAATCGCACACATGTACAATCTATGGATCTCTCTTATTCTGGTGTGTTTTAGTTGTTACAAGCCCACTAGCTTTCACTTGGTTCGTCCTTAAACCACATTGTACTAGGAGAAAGGACTTACTTTATACCATTTGTAACACCTCCTAGATTTGACATCTTAGTAGCTCCACTCCATGATACTTCACACAATGAAACTTCACACAGCTCCTCATTAGTCAAAACCCTTCACCAATTAGAACCCTCCATGGATAGCCCTTTTTGAGATGTCTGTCCACTTTTAGGATTAGTGATTGTCCTCATAAATCAACACAAGACTTTTAAGTGTGTTTTGTCCTCACTTGCACACTTTTTGGGAATCTTCCTAGAAGGTTACCCATCCCTAAATTACGTAAAGCTACGCATGCTTAACTATGGAGTTCTTATGTGATGAGCTACCAAAAACTAAACGCAAATGCATCTTATTGGTATAGGTAGTACAAATTAAATCCTTTAAGTTATCATCAACTACACAATCTCACACATGTACAACCTATGGATCCCTTTCATTCTGGTGTATCCGAGTTGTTACAAACCCACTAATTTTTATTTGGTTCGTACCTAAACCACATCGTACTAGGAGAAAAGACATACTCTAACACCAGTTGTAACACCCCTTAGATTTGACATCTCAATGACTTCACTCTATGACACTTCACACGATAAAACCTCACACAACTCCTTATTAGTTAGAACCCTCTGTGCGTAGCCCTTTTTGAGATGTTCATTCACTTTTAGGATCAATGATTGTCCCCATAAACCAACACAAAATATTTTAGCATGTTTTTTCCTTACTTACACACTTTCTAGAAACTTCTCAAAAGGTCACTCATCCCTAAATTACTTCAACCCAAGCACACTTAACTATGGAGTTCTTATATGATGAGCTACCGAAAACTAGATGCATCTTGTTGGTATAGGTAGTACAAATTAATTCCTTTAAGTTATCATCATCTGCATAGTCTCTTACATGTACAATGGATCCCTCTCATTTTGGGGTGTCCGAGTTATTATAAGCCCACCAGCTTCCGCTTGTTTAGTCCTAAAACCATTTTATAGATCCCTCTCATTTTGGTGTGTCTAAGTTGTTATAAGCCACCAACTTTTGCCTAGTTTGTCCTCGAACCATATCGTATTAAGAAAGAGGACCTACTCTGATACCATGTGTAACACCCCCCAGATTTGACATCTTAGTGGTTATATTCCATGACACTTCACATGATGACACTTCATACAACTCTTCGTTGATCAGAATCTTTAATTGGTCAGCAACCTCCATGGATAGCCCTTGTTAAGATGTTCATCCATTTTTAGAATCAATGATTGTCCCCACAAACCAACACAAGACTTTTTAATGTATTTTGTTCTCACTCGCATGCTTGTTGGGAAACTTCCCGAAAAGGTCACCTATCCTTAAATTGTTCCAAGCCAAGCACGCTTAACTATGAAGTTCTTATGTGATAAGCTATCAAAAAGTAAATGCATCTTGGTATAGGTTGTACAAATTAATTTCTTTAAGTTATCCTTAACTGCACAGTCTCACACATATACAATCTATATATCCATCTCATTCTGGTGTGTCTGGGCTATTACATTACTCCTACTAGAGGAACTATACCTCTTCTACTATATCATTGGTGCCACACTCTTATAGTGTGTTGCACGTGCCCTTCCATCCTCATCATAAATGTGACACCTATTTACTAAACTAGTAAATCTCTTAGTAGTTCACAACTTGCTTAATCTTCAGTCATATGTTATTGACAAACTTCACATGCTTGGATTTCTCATAATCCACATTATTGTAGTGGGGACAAAAACACACCAACTCCTCAAACTTGGCAATGTACTCCACCACCATGCCATTACTTGCTTCAAATTTAGGAACTCAATCTCCTTTTTATTTTTCACATCCTCTGAGAAGTACTTTTCCAAGAAAATCCTTTTGATGTTCTCCTAATTTACCAAAGTATCTTCTGCCATTATCCATTGTAATGTGTTCTACCACCAGAACCTAGCATCTTCAAACAACTTGAAGGTAGTAAGTGAAACCTTCTATTTAATGGGGTATTACATAGCATGAAACATCTTTTCCACCTTAAAGTTCCACCCTATAGCCCTATTAAGATCATATCTACCCTTAAAAGTAGGTGGATCATTTTGCTGAAACCTCGACAAACAGTTAGTTTCCACAACAATCACATTCCCCATCACTTGAATTATTGCTTGTAAGGCATCAACTAAAGGGCAGTCATTATTTCCTGCCATTATTTTTCTAGTTCACAAAAACATACACAAGGTTAAAACAACTCAAACATCAAAATATAAGTCAGAGTACACACAAAAACATAGGAAACTTTTATAACACACTAGTCAAATTAACCAATTTGCTCTAACACCACTAAACGTGATACCCTTCTACCCTCAAGGCCTTAATTATAAAACTTTTAATAAGAAAACATGTTTAATTAAAAAAAATAATATAAAACAACTTCATTAGTACTTCTAGTAAAAAGGGTTCACATGTTATAGATAAAACTTCCTCAAAGTAAAGAAGGAAATAAACTAAACAAGAGTTATAAACAAGGCACAGACAAGCCTTTTACAAAACATATAAAAATAAATAAACATAAAAAACAAATCTAAACTTCATCCATAACTAAAGAGAATATTGTATGGTCCTTTAGCCCCAAAGTCACACTATTAAAGTAAGACCCCAAAATATCAAACTAAAACACTAAGCCTCATTTCCCTTATGCTTGACCTCATATACCTGGTCTACTCTGACATGGCAATTAGCCCAAGCAAGAAACAACAAAACAAACACAAAGGAGTGAGAATATATATCACCCATATACAACACATATAAGGTATAAGGGTAGAACACTAACATAATTTATATCCATACATTCACCCAATACTCAAGATTCATCTCATATCATTCAACACATCAAATCCAGATCATACACAATGCTAGTTAAAAACTCATGCAACTGATATTCCTAAATATATATGCACATGGTACCAATATCCAATATCACTAAAATGTGCTCTAGTACAAGATAACCTAAGAGAACACGGACCGAATCACTAGTGACCCTCTTAATCCACTCTTGATTAGGGGAGATTTATCATAGTCCAGTTGAAGCATTATAGTCAGTCATGGTTAAGGATGACAAATAAACCCGTACCCGTGAGTAATACCCGAACCCGTCCCGACTTTGATGGGAAATACTCGGTTTGATCGGGTACGGGTACGGGTACGGGTACGGGTACGAGTATATACATACCCGCCCATACCTGTACCCGTAACCAATTGAATTATGTTAAAAAAATTTAATATTTTATTGTGTAATTATTTCTTATAATGTGAAATATTTATAGTTGTTTAATTATTAAGAAATATCTTGATTAAAATATAAGATAGAGAAACAATTTAATTATAATTATAATATAATGAAAAAATAATTTAAAAATATTATGTATTTCTTTTTGCAATAAAAAATAATAATAATTTTTTACGGGTACATGTATACTCAATACCTGAAGGGACGGGGATGGGGGCAGAAATTATATACCCGGCGGGTACAAGGATGGGTTTGAGTTGCGAGGACGGGGACAGGTATCATAAAACCCGTACCCAACCCGTCCCGTTGCCATCCCTAGTCATGGTTGTCCTTCATACTCGTTAGGGTCTCCTTACCATAATGCCCCTAAGGTTTAGGTGAAAAACCATAGAGATCCTCCTACATAGATTAACACCACCTCTCAAAGAAAGTATGCATGAAATGCATGGACTCCACACAACATTACAACATAAGAATAATGCAATTATATCCACAACAAAAACTTGCCAACCTCTTTGTCTGAACTTTTCCACAAGTTAACATGCATTTGCCTAGATTTCATCACTGCTAAGTCTCTACTTAGACCTACTCATCATCATCATCGTCATCGTCATCATTTCTTATACTCTTATTCATCATAGTCACTTCCTTTCTATATGTACTCAATTATAATTATTTTGTTCCTCTCTTTTTATTGTTCTTCCCTTATCAACACCCCATTTATTTCTCCTTTTTAATTAACAAACCAAGATTATTTCTTCTTTTTTATTTCTAATAGTACCAATCATCATTAGCTCCTCTACTAATTATTACTTTGAAAACTTTTTTTTCTCATCAACATAGTGGTGCCCAATAAGGCAAACCTCACTCCCAATGTAAAGAGGTCAAGGACCTTCTCTATCATGTTCGTGCCTAACATAGCTACTCCCACACCTAGTGTGGAGAGGTCAAGAACCTCTTTGTCTCTTTTGCACCCAATGCAATTACTTCCAAGTCTAATGTTGATGGGACAAGACGTGTAAAATGACCTATCTACTTTTGTTTTCTTATTTTTAATAAATCTCCAGGTTAGACTCAAGAGTCCAACCTAAGCCTCTATAACTCACTCTTTATTTTCTTTTTATTTTATTTATTAAAACTTTTTTATTTATATTATAAATTCAATTAAATAATTTAATTAAATTTATAATATAAATTTTATTTAAACAACTTTATTTTATTTTTTATTTTAAAAATCAAGATTTTATATGTTTCAAAACCGGTATGAATCATTCAATAACTAATCAAAACCTATCAAAACCTGCATAGAAAACCTATTAAATCAATATTATCAAAACAAATAATCAGATCAAAATTCGATCTGTAGCTCCCAAAAAGGGACTTATGTTTGCTCAGAAAAAAGGTATCTACTTGTACAAAATTCACTTGGTTTGAAACTTTCCAAGATTCACTCAAGAACTGCTTTCACTTCTTGGTGCTTCCGGCCATCCATGCTTAGGCATGGTGGACAAATTTTGTCCTTAGCCGTGTGTGGCCAACCTTCCATCAACCAACATTCTTCAACCTCCGTCAACACCATCTTTTGCTAAAATCTTGACTACAAACTTGGCTTCAACATGTGATCTCCCTCTCCCTAAGCCTTGCCGGAAGGGAGACTCCATTGCTGTAAAAATTTCGGAGCAAGATTACCAAGAAGGACTCCTACGTTGCCGCAACCATCTTCATGGGAGAGTCTTCTTGGCCAAAGGCCAAAAACCTTTGAAATTTGTTGAGCTCAAAGATAAACTCTCTAGGCTATGGACACATCTTGCTGGCTGGACAGTCATCTCTCTTGGACGTGGATACTTTGAATTTGAATTCCAACATAGCAAGGATCTTGGCACGGTTCTTGCAGCTGGCTCATGGAATTTGGAACCCGGATTACTTCGACTCTCCCTTTGGAAACTGGACTTCAATCCAAGAAACTTCAAGAACTCTCTTGCACATGTTTGGCTATGGATTTATGAGTTGCCTCAGGAATATTGGTGCAGCAGGATCATCCTTGCCATAGCCTCGGGTCTAGGCATACCTATTGCAATAGACCAAGCCACGGTACAAAGATCTTATGGACACTTTGCACGAGTGTTAGTGGAAGTCAATCTTGCTGAAGCCATTCCAGATCATTTGCTGGTTGAGAGGGAAGGATTTGCTTTTTATGTGACTTTAGATTTTGACAGGATCCCTGCATATTATTCTTTATGCCAATGCATTGGACATGATAATTTTCTTGTAACATTCAAAAACCTGTAGATGAAGCATGGAGGAGTACAAATTCGGATAATGGAGAGCCAAGCAAAAAATCTGCAGCGGTAGCTGAAAAAATGGACGTTGTAGAATTGATCACCACTCAGGTGGTTGATCACGCCAAGGTTGATCAGCACGTAGGTGACTCAGCTGCTCAACTAGCACCAAATGCTCAGGTTGGTGGCTTGGCTAAGCTAAAGCATGATGCAGTCTCTCCTTGTGCTGATGATCAACACAAGGTTGCATCTGCAGTAGGAGCTGTCACAAACGCGGCTGTTCTAGCTGCTCCAGCATCGCTTGGTGACCAGCCAGCACACATTTCAACTGATAATATGCAGCAGCTAAATCAGCCAAACCAGCTTGGCGTTAATCTGGTTCAATATGCAGCAGGTGCTGTCAAACACGCAGCTGGGCTAGGGACACCTCTTGCTGCACAGCAGGTTGGTAGCTTGGTGGTTGCACTTGCTTCAGCTGCTGGCTTGGTGCAGTCCAATTTTGTGAAACCTGTTCCAGCTGTCCCTGCCAAAATGATAGCTACTGCAGCACCGCTTGGCACTCCCTTGGTTGTAGCTAATGATCATCAATGGAGCAATGTAAAGGCCTCTCAGACGCATGCAGTTTCTGGCGCTAAATCAGCTGCTGTCATAATAAAATTTGCTGCAGTAGTGGTGGGCAATTCTTCAATTGTGGCAGTCCATTCGACAGCAAGTGAAGCCAGCCATAGTGATAACAACTCACTTGAAGGTATGCCACCTCTAGAAGATATATCCACGGATGAAGCTGCTGTTGGTGCATTAAAGGTACAGCAAACTGATGCAGCTGATTGTTCAGTGGATTCACAAGCAGGTTCAGCTGTGGGAAGCAAGGCTGGTACAGTCACAGCTAAGCCAGCTCAGTTTGTACAAGTCGTGTGGATGGTGCAGAAACTGATTCTGATTCTGATTCAGAATATGAGAGTGATCCTGAGGAAATGGACACAACAGCAGACTTAGATGTGGGAAGGGTAGCAGGCCCCGGCTCCAAAATTCTAACAAGAAGCGCAGCTGCTGCAGCATACAAAAAAGGCACTAATAAGATAGTATCCAGTTCGGCAGGTGCAGCTGAATCTAGCCCCAAAAGGATTGCAACAATGGTTTGCAACAATGGTTGCCAATCCACCAAGGAGGAATAAGGTGTCTACATCAAGAAAAAGGAGTGATGTAGAGGCAGATTCAGATATTGATTCTCCTCCTTTGCACAAGATGTCCTATGAGGAGCACCAACGGAGAGCTGTAGCAAGATCTGCTAGATATGCCAAATACTCTTAAACATTTTTGGTAATTTTGGAGAATCATGTTGATTGTATGTAGCTTATTGACATGGTTTGGACTATGCCAATTGATTGGCATTGGTAACCAAATTTTGTTTTCCTTTCTTTGTATTTTTTAGGTGGGTTTTGGTTTGGTCCCCCCACTTTGTACTTTTTACTTACTTTAATTTTTTAGTCCATGTTGATATGCTGCAGATGATTGACGTCAATTGAGGTACTAACCTGGTTAGGATCTTAATTCTACATAGTGATGTCTTAGCATATTTATTTTTTTTTTCAAAAAAAAACAATATCTTTAATGCTTAACTTTAAGATTTATTTTAAATACTTTTTATTACAAATTTGATCATAATCTCTAAAATTAAGCCATGGAAGGAACGTTGCTTTTTTATTATGCCTTTTATTTCAATTAAAATTTATAACTTATGAAAATAATTTTATTTTAAATTTTAATAATACTATTTTGTCTTCTTGATTAACTAGCTTTAGATAATACTCTTTACAAAAACTGGTCAGAATTTTTTTGTTTAATTTTGAATGACACATTAAACAATAGATCAACATTGCTCAATTTAGAAAATAAGAACCAAATTAATAATTAAAAATTGAGACTAAAATTGCACATTTATAAAACTATAGGACCAAAAGTAAATTTAAATCATTTTTTTTTTCATAAAACGGAGGTCCTATGCAGTCCCATACCCCAAAACATTCTCAATAGAGATGGCAAATATATTCGTACCCGCAGATAATACCCGAATCCGTCCCAACTTTGACGAGAAATACCCGGCTTGATCGGGTACGGGTACGGGTACGGATACAGGTAAAACCCGATACTTTAAATCGAGTACGGGTATGTACTTACCCGTCTCATACTCGTACCTGTACCCGTCCCCGTTTCTATTTTTAATTTAATACCCACTTTCAATTTAATTATATTAAAAAAATTTAATATTTTTTATGTATGATTATTTATTATAATATGAGATAGAGAAATAACTTAATTATAATTATAATATAATAAAAAAATAATTTAAAAAATCATTTTTTATAAAAAATAAAAAATAAAAAAAATGACAGGTAAAGGTACAGGTATACCCGATACCCGACGGGGACGAGGATGGAGATGAAAATTACATACCCGACGGATACGGAGACAAGGATGAGTTTAACTCCCGGGGACGGGGACAGGTATCATGAAACCCGTACCCGACCCGCCCTGTTGCCATCCCTAATTCTCGGAGAGAGCCAACCATAGTACTCATCTTGGTATGGTCTAAGGTCCCTCGTCGCGAATTATCCTGTCCTAGCTAGGATATGAACAACATTGGGAAGGGGCCTCACCAACAAAAAAATAGTTCCGTTAGGATCACATATCTACCAACACCTACAAATAATAATAACTGATCCCAATTCAAGGTTATCGATGGCGGATAACGGTCTATGGCGGCGAGGCCAAAAATCCTTTATAACTCTATGGCGGATGCCATGGCGGCCTATGGCGGACGTCATGGCGGACAAAAAAAAAATTAATAATAAAAATATTTATATATATTATATACAAAGAAAATAGCAAAACAATAAATAACAAGTAACAAAACTAAATTAAAAGCAACATAATATCAACTTAAATACTTAAATATCATAACAACAATACCATAATTCATTAAGTCTCATAACATAATTGATTAAAACACAACAAAAAACATAGAAAAACAAGAGTACAAGAAGCATTTTGCTAATCTAATCATCCTTCTCATCATCATCCTTCTCCTCCTCTTCCTCAATATAATCATTCTCTTCATAAAATAGGAACAATAATAAAATAGGAACTCAATATTATTTTAGAATTTATAAAAAAAATAGAAATTTAAATTGACCCAATTAGTAGAAGAATTAAGATTAAAAAAATTCTTGTTGCAGATGCAGCAACCAACTCATTAAAAATGAAGAAAGGATTCAAAGGAGTAGGAAAAAAATAAAGGAAAAAGGAGGATTAAAACTGGAAAAAAAAAAAACTGTTAGGTTTTAACTCGCCGGAGTTGCTCGCCGGAGTTGTTCACCGGAGTGCAAGACCACCACGATTCAGGTCGCCGGCCAAAAACGTGACCAAGGGGTGGTGGGCGACGGTGAACGACAGTGATCAAAGATGGTTTCGAATTTCATAGGTCCTATTCATGCCCGCGTTGTGGTTCAGGTCGTCGAAGCCGTGGACCACCGCGGTTCAGGTCGTCGGTCAGAGAGATGACCGGCGAGTGGTGGGCGACGGCAGAGGAACGTCATCGGAGACTGGTTGAAGGTAGATGAGCTGCGTTTGGGTGGGTGGCTGTCGTGGCTTCTCATTCTTCAACCCTAAAACCATTAGGGCATACTTGTTGGGCCTAGTTTGAAGCCCAAAACTGGCCCCAGACCCGTTACGTCCGCTATCACCTTTATAGCGTTATGGGTCAAAACGGAAATGGCGGCCGCCATGGCGAAAATGGCGGACGGCGCCACAAAACGCCATTTTGCGGATGGCGAATGGCGGCGAGGCCCAAAACCGCCCCGCCATACCGTTATAGCGGCGTTATAACGGTTTTTTGATAACCTTGTCCCAATTCAGCTACATTATTTTCCCCCCTTGCTATTATTCTGCCAAAATTTCTAGTAACTTGGGTCTTCAAAACTCCCTACAAGAACATCCCATCCAACCCATCACAGAAATCATCTCTGTATAATTTTTTTATCCATAAAAATTATAATGACGCCAACATAGTCTAAGTCAAAAACTTTATGCATACTACTACTTTTCCTTGACCCTAGTAGTTTAATCCCTATACAATGAAATATCGCAGTAGCAACTAGCAAATCAGAGGGCACAAAAAGCAAATTGTATATTAATTTTGTCAACTAGGTATTGGATATGCGACAATATTAGAATATATGGACATATAAAATAGTGCAAGACCACTGGGGACACGAAAATGACTCCCAGGCATATCACATCAAAACACAATCACTAGGCAACAAAACTATTGTTAATTAGTGAGCCTAAACGAAGAAAAATGCCGTGTATATGGATAGAATTTATTTATTTATTTTTTATCAATATACACTTATTCCACTTTTAATCTTTAACTTTGTTGTAAGTTTCATTATCAATATATTTTATTCTTTTTCGTTTAAGAAAATCCATAATTTCCGTTCCAAACTCATTGATCCTTGAGGGAATCCAAAGTAACCCTTGACCAAATACCAAAAATTATTTTATCGAAGTACATAGATTCATTTAAGAAATTAAACTTTATCGACAGATATTTTTTCTGTGCACAAATAAGAGGATGAAACTCCTTCCTACATGGAAACAAAGTTATTTGTCAATCACAACATTCTATATTAGTCCCAAATCACTCATCTATATATGAAAAAAAATGCTCAATTAAAAAAAAAAAAACTACATGGTTTTAGTTTACCAGTGCAGCTATATTTTATTCATACACAATAACACATCAAAAATTTATATTAACATCAAAATTCGAAAATAAGATAAAAATTGGTCATGAAAAATAAAACAAAATATAGTTCAAAGATAAAAATTTTGGGAAAGAAACTGTTGCATATGATATGACTAATCAAACACCAGAGAAGTCAGCCACTAATGCTTAGTCACAATCCCAAAAAAAAAAAAAAAAAACTATTGCCTCGAGAATATAATAATAAGAATGGTCTCTCTACTTTTGAAGCCCTTAGTCAGCTTTTCATTTAAATACTCCAAAAAAGAATTTAAAAGCAAAATGACAGAGACAAGCACATAATAATATTATTATTACATAAAGTTGTTGCATAAAGAAATGAAAGCAATAATTACATTCATAAGCTGTCCTCTATCCTCTATAGACATGATACCTGAAGCTACAAGAACAAGAACAATGAAGAGAAAGATATATACAGTTCACATTCCACCATTTGAGCCACATATCCTCCCAAGGAGGGACAAAAGACACCTATACCTGGCATAATATTCAAAACTGTACTTTTATTTTAACTACATATTTAGCCTAGAGGACTATAATACATACTAATAGAACACACAAAATGGTAAAAGGAAAGTACTTCTGAATTCTAGTAGCTACCCGAAATGGTTGTTGCCATGTACAAGTTGTCAAGCCGCAAACTTGGTGAAACTTTACATGATTTAGTTGCTTTCACATTTGTCCGAAGAAGCACTTTGGCAACGTCTTTTCCTCGAGCTCACCTGAAAAATAAGGGGTATAGTTAGCATTGGTCATCAAGCAACATAACAGTGACTAAGGGTTGCATCATGACCATTCACAATACAAATAAAATTACTGTGTTCTCAGCTACACAACAATGACAAATACAAGAAATGTACCAATAATTGAAGTATCTGATGTTAAATTAGCGCCAACTACCAAGCAAATTTTGTTTGTGGATATGCAAAGTTGATATACAAGAAAATATCATAGCAAACAAAATTTCTTAATGTGAAGTAACCACAGCTTTTGAGTTGAACCTTAATGACAATGCATTTGGGTGTTGAGGGGTGAATGGTTCAAGGAGAGAACCGAAAGTATTGTGCTTGCCTACTAGGCAAGAATTACAGATTCAGTTGATGACAAACAGATTGAAGAAAGAGGTTAAGACACGAGGGTGTGCAATTGTGGCATGCAAGGGTGACAATACTGAAAACAAATTGAAATTAGTAATTTTCTAATCATCTCCCATGAGCCCATATTGAGAATGTTCTAAGGCAAAGTTCTCAGATATCACAATACTGGGCAAGGTACAATTCATCTTAACTGGGAAGAGTAACAAATATGATTAAACTTAAACGTAGGTAAATTTAACACAACATTGACAATACATAAAAAGTAAAATCAAAGTCCTTTTATCAATAAAGTATTTTTAGATCAAGTTTTTAATCTCCTCAAGCTTACATTCAATTTACTCTCGAATCATGTCCTTCAATTTCAAATATGAGAGTTTGAACTTTAAATTAGACAGCTATGTTGGCTTTAAATTAACTCTCCAATCATGTCCTTCAACTTTTTTTTTGTAAAACTTTCATTCTTGGTCCCTATGTCTAGGGCTAAAGTGTAATACAAAATTCAAATACTAACAACATCCTTATCTTTAAAAAAAATTGATAATATCTTCAAATCTAAACAACAGCTTAAAGTTTTGCAACATAAATAACAAATTCCTAAAAGAACCAAATTATTCATTTTCAACACTCCTCCCTGCCTTAATTAACAAATTCCTGTCTGTTTACTTGTGTTTTTATTTCTTGTTTTCATTTTCTATTTTCACTTTTTAATTAGAAAACTGTCACCTTGTTTTCAGTTTGTTTCATGTTTTCAAAGGTTTGTATAGGAAACACTGAACAACATTTTTTTTCTCTATCTCCTGTTTAAATCTTTGAAAACAGAAAACAAATTGAAGGAGGCAGTTTTGTAATTAAAAAGATAAAACAAAAAATGAACCATGAAAATGCAAGTAAAACAGGCCCTAAATTATCCATTCTCAAATTAAAGATATTGAAGCATATTTTCAACAAGTTCTACAATCAAGATAAGGAGATCTATCTAAATCAGTGATAATTCGCTAGCTTGCCGTCCATATACTGAACTTGTATTTGTAGAGTCATGTCAAATTCAAGCAAATCTTTGTCATTTGTCTCAAATGACAGAACCATAATGAACCATTATATGCTAGAAAAAATGACAAACACAATAACCACACAATGTTTTAGTCAACAACAGAGAACCATGACTAAAGAACTGTTGCACACATATGCTTCTAAAGATTAATTTGGCCCAGAAAAAATTTTCAAGCGGTATACATGACAACTTATACCTTAGTTGAGGAAGGGGGCAATGAAGCCCCACGCACAGGGTTTCTCAACTGTTTAATCTGTTGAAGATGGTTTGCTATCTCCTCCAGAAGCTTCAACCGGCCTTTTTCACTTTCTCCGTTCTGTGCGAAGAGTGACAATTTTTCCTTTTCATGTTTTACCATCTTCAACCTTTCTCCAAGAATTTCAATCTCATTGAAAATCTTTAACTTTTCATTCTCAACTGCACTTGATTCACTTCCATAATCAAAAGACAAACTTTTGCATCCCGGGTTTGAGAACATGGATAACTTACTAGTTGTGCCATCAACACTATTACCAGGACTTGGACAATTAGTTAATATACTATTGCTAGGTACTGTTAGACTTCCAAATTCAAGATATCTATTTGTGAGTTCATTTGTAACAGTACTCAATGAAGAGCTATTTAAAATTTTACTTTCCTTTATCCTTAGTTCTATGTTGTCATCAATGACATGGACATCTAGAACATCAGGTTCAGTATCATGCACTTGATCCTTATGTTGTGCGTTTTTCTCCAGCTCTTCTCCACTTTCTGTATTGATGCAAGTCTGACCAACCATATAATTCAAGGATACATTTGACATTAAACCTTTCTTAACAGTTGAGTTTTCATATGTTTCAACTGAAATTGAAGGTCTTTGTCCCCATTCATTATATTGCACCTTTGCTTTGCCATATGATTGGTCACTTCCTTTTGAATCCATCTTCCTATAAGCTTCAAGTTCCTTTTCCAGAAAGTGGTTTGTGACAGTTCCCTTGCCAGAAACTGGTTCTCTCTTTCCCTTCTTATAAGGATCTCTTGCATAATATCCATCTCTTCTTCATCATAAGCAACTCTCTCTTCTATCATCCTCAGGTATTGCTTCATTTCCATTTCCATTGACGCCTTCTCCTCCTGCAGACGCGATATCATAGCCATGGTTTCATCAGCAGCAGTAGCAGCTGAAGCTCTCTCCTTCTCTAGCTCAAGATAAAGAGCAACATAGGCAGCTTTCTCTTCTTCAAGTGCATTTTCTAACATCTTGATACGATCCTCTTCATTACCAACAATCTGGACAATGTCACACGCATTATTCATGTAGTGTTCCAATGACACTAAACATCTGTCCTGCCCTGGACTATCAACCATTGATCCATTAAATTCATAACTATGACAGGTGTTTTCATCCAAATCATGGCCAGTTTGACCATCTTCAACATCTAAATAGAACAATGGCAAAATACAGAAAGTCAAAAACCAATATCTAGTTTGTATACAATAATATATAGAATAGGTTTTCAACAAGAATATAAGATTCAACTTGTTACCCCTTTGAAAGCCTAGGAAATCATTAATCATTATAATCACAAGATGCTGACCTTGGTAGTTTGCAAGAATCATTAATAAGCTAACATATGGGAGTGTGTAGCATATGTTAGAAGAATACAAATTCACATTAAGAACACGTAACTTTAACCTAAACAGTCAAATAAACAAGAATGATGGTAATTTCTCACTTACCAACTACACTAACTCCTTTCCCTGAGGAAGGACTTGTGCTTGCACTGGTTTTATCTCTAATATTACTGCCATCACAAGGCAAGCAAGGAGCGAGCACGACATGAGATTGCAGATTATCTGAAGGAACTGCTGAAGAGACTTTCACACAATCATAACCAGTCTTCCTCCGGCGCCGAATTCCAGACCTTCGTTTTGTGACCCTCTTCCCCTTAGCATCATACACGTTTTCCCTATCAACGAGGGAAAGAAAACGCGGTTCTGAAAATGAACTGCAAGATGCATCATCTCCCAACTCAACACCCCTAATATCAGGTGTTCTCTGAGAAAACACTCTATCATTGGCACCCACCCCAAACAGATCAAAAGGGAGCCTCTTAACAGCCATAACTTGAATGGAACATATTTTCCTTGAAGGCCATTCAAAGAGCATTCTATGCAAACAGAAACGGCTATTCCTAAACCCAAAACTCAACTTGCAAGGGCAAGGCAAACAAAACCCAATAAACCAGAACCATCTGGACACAAAGAAAGCAAAAGCTGATCCACATAACAAAAAATAAGCTATGAAAAGGTCAATAAAGGCACCAATAAGTCCTCCCAACGTCCAAGAGTGAGTCTCCTGCGAAGCCATCTTCCTCTGAAGTGCTCAGAAAGACCATCACATGTGATAAAAGAAACATAACACATAACAAACAAGATCCACCAGGGAAAATCAAAAAAATTCAACGACCCTTATCCCAAAATCTCAAATTTAAAGCATCCATAAGCAATATAGGTGTGATGACAAAAGGGTTCAGATCAAAGAAGGTGGTAGAACAACTTGAAGAAAAAGGCAAAAACACAAAAGAAACCCAAGATCATGGTTTGGAAAAATCAGCAATCCAAACCACAATTGCACTTCAACCCTTTTGTTATTTTTCTTCCTATTTCTGGAGAAAAATGCTTAGAGATGGTGCCTTGGAGGTAACAAAGTTGAGTGCAAGGATAAGAACACTTTTCAGGTATGAGATTTGAAAAGGATATAATAATAATAAAAAGAAAAGAAAAGAAAAGCCAGAAAGGAATCAAGGAGAATATTGATGATTGAGGGAAGAATTGTTTGAGATTGGCAAGTTTTAAAGCTTTGTAAAATAGTTTATTAATGCAAAACCACCAAAGTTGCATCCGATTTCTTCATTGTGTGTGGGACAAACAAGAGATACCGGGGAAAGTTAGAGGACGCACGGAGGGAAGGAACGACGTCGTTTGCTGACACTTCCGAACTTTCCACGTGGTGCTTATATTGTTATTAATCGCATAACCTTAGCCTTGCCATCTGCCTTCAGCACATGCAGCTGTGCCACGTTTTTGGTCTTCTTTGTTTAACTTGTAAAGTTGGTTTATATATATATATATATATAGCATATCAAGTGAGAGAAAATTTATTATGAGAGATGAGAGAGTTAAAATATAATTTTTAGATTAATTTTGCGAATTCTTAAATTTTAGCGTATTAACTTCATATACAAATACAATTCATATACAAATAAAATATTTTGAAAATGAAACTTGAAAAATAAAACTTAAGAGGTTACAAAATATTTTCAAAATAATAGGTTCAATTCCATATACAAATACAATTCATGTCTTAGAAATTCTCTGTCTCAATGTCATAATATCATATCATACCCATAAATTAATTGTTGGCATTCTAGAGGTCATTCAAAGTCAGATCTTCCTCATCTAAAACATCCACAAATTGTACGGTGAGAAAAGAAAATATCTATATGTAAAGCACATAAGAAAAACACAACATAATCTCATCATTACTCATTACTTAATGAAATATTCACAAGCATTTATATATATCATAATTTATCAATCATTCATCATCTTCACATCTCAATTCACAATTACATCAATCCATCACAATCCACACAAATCTTACAATTAACACTATGTCAAGGCCACGCCACAACTAACATAAGTGATACGAGTTAATTGCCTCACTCATCCCACACCATGCCATGGGCACGCCTTCCCTGTAGCATCACTTACCCAGGGGTCGTCTCAACCCTGGTCATTAGTGTGAGGAACCACAATTACATCACAATTCACACAAATCTTACAATTAACACTATGCCAAGGCCACGCCACAATTGACATAAGTGATACGGGTTAATTGTCTCACTCATCCCATACCATACCACGGGCACGCCCTCCCTGTAGCATCACTTACCCAGGAGCCGTCTCATCCCTGGTCATTAGTGTGAGGAACCACAATCACATCACAATTCACACAAATCTTACAATTAACCCTATGTCAGGGCTGCCATATTTGACATAAGTGATACGTGTTAATTGCCTCACTCATCCCACACCATGCCAGGGGCACGCCCTCCCCGTAGCATCACTTACCCAGGGGCCGTCTCATCCCTGGTCATTAATGTGAGGAACCACAATCACATCACATCAACATCTCATTTCATAACTCAAATTCCATATCACATACAGATAAGTCTACACAATACAATGATTCACATAACCTTCAAGCAATTCACCATGAATACACATCTTGATGGAATCATGCTTTGGAGAGCAAGAGGTGACACACTTAAAGATCCAAGAGGAGTGGGCTAGATTTGAAGGTTTGGGACAGTCAGGGCCCAATGGGCCTGATGGGCCTGGGAAGGCCCAAGTTGAACTTTTCATGGGCCATATTTTGTTATAGCTATTTTCATATGTTTTGTATACATCATGTTAGTATAGGTATCATATATTTTGGTCTTGTATTTTGGACCACATAGAGTAGCATTTTAGGTTTTAGGCTAGTTGGGCCTAGTTTTGGGCTTCATGGGCTTTTGGGCTTTTGGTACCCAATATTGGGCTCATTTTCATTCTTGTAATTTTTCCTTTCCATTGTAATTGTTTGACCAATGTAATTAGGTCATTAGAATAGGAAAATACAAGGAATACTAAAGTATGCTAATTAGGTTAAACTAGGTTTAATTTGGAAGCCATTTAAGTTACATTTGAGTCACATGTTTTGCACCATTGGTGGCTGAACATGTGACACTCAAATTAACCCTAAATGACTCTCAAATCAGACCTAAATGCACCTTGGTACCTAAATTTTCGGACTTACACATGTGCACCAAAGTTTGAATTCAAATTTCAAATTTGAATTCAAACTTTAGGCGCCAATTTGTGTAGCTTTGGTTTAGGTGCCTATGTGCTTCATTTCCGTGCATACTTAAGTCCTCCCTTCACATCTTTGTATTCACTTTTGAGAATAATGAAATTTGAGAGCTTATTCAGCCAAATTTCGTTCAAGAGTCACCATGAGAGAAAGCTTCACCTTAGGAACCCTTCTAGGATTTCCTCCTCTTTGAAGTGAGCTTTCCCTTGCACCTTAAGCTTGGATGCTTCCATCCAAGGCTTAAGCCTTCTTCCTATCCGAGAATCTCCTCCATCTAGTGTTCATCACGTTGGTTTCTATTTCCTTGAAGAAGATCCGTGCATAAGGAGAGCTAAGGAGAAGAACATTCATCACTCCTCCTTACCTTTTCCATCATTTTTGGTATCAAGAGCAAGGTCTTCAAGGAGATAAGTTCTTGAGTTTTTGGTCCGATTGTTTTTGTGTTCTTTGTGTTCTAAGTGTCTTGTTTGAGTTTCTTTTCGGATCTACATGCTTTATATCATATTTTGTTCCATAGATCCATTGGTTGATTGTTCTTGATTTTCTTCCTCAATCAACTTGTTTAGGACCTATTAGCTTGTGCTTATTTTTGATTTTAATTTTGAGTCTCTCCATTCCTAATATGTGTCCGTGATTGGACTGCATACATTGCATTTAGATTTTGGTTTTTAATCCATGTTTTGTCTTAGTATGTTTGTGTAGTCTTTATATGTCTTAAAATTCCTTGAATAGCATGTTGACCTAAATTTCTTTGTGTCTTGTTCATCAATTTGTTGCTCTCGGTTTGCTTATTGTTCTTGCCTCCTATATGTGCTTTTTCTTTTACCTTATTGTGTTCATAACTTGCTATTAGTTCTAGTAAGTTTCTTTAGAGTTAGGTTTCCATTGTGTCTTAAGTTTTCAAATCACATTTCCATTGAAAAATCTTTTAAAAAAAATTTTGTGACTCAAAATTTCAAGTGCTTAATCTTACTTCTAGTGCACTATCTTTTGGATTCAAATTTTAAAAAGTAAATAGGCTGAAAACAGAGACAAAAACAGAGCCTAAATCAAAAGAAAAGTACAAAGATTCAAAGAAGAAAAGTGTACAAAAGAATCCAAGACAAAACCTAAAAACTAGTGCACTAGTTTCCTTGTTTTCACTTGAATTTTTGTCTAACTTGTAGTCACGGTTTCTATAGCTTGGAATCTTAGAAAAATTTGAAACAAAAGGCAAATATACTCTCTGGACTCTTAACTTGAATATAGAAAAAGAAAGAATTAAAAAAAAAATTAGAGAAAGCATTTTAAAGTGAAAAAGCCGAGAGGTGTACATTGGTGAAAAATCACTTGATTCCTTGTTATTGTTTTGACTACTACTTGTGCTATACTTATCCAATTGCTTTCAAATTTTTTTTGTTTTGTTCATCTACTCTAGTACCTATCTAGGAACATTCCTAACTGAGTGCTAGCTTTATTTGGAGTCTTATTTTCCAGTTTTACTTGTTGAACCTCTTTGAGTCTTGTCATATATACATATTACTCTTAACTTTTGGTATAAGCTTTCCAAATTGTGCTTTATTGCTTGTCTAGTTTTCTTTCAATAAATTCCCTGTGCTGGAAGTGGCCTCAAATCCTTGCTCAAGGATCAAGCATTGCTCAACAAAGAGTAGGAAAAGTTTGGACACTAAGACCTAAAAATTTGACCTAATTTAGTGACCAAAACTTCTCCTAAACTTCCTTCACTTGAGTGACCATTCCTTTCACCTTGTGAGGCAGCCACCATTAACCTCTTTGTTGTGTTTCTTTTGCAGGTCCAGTAGCATCATATTGAAGGATTAGTGGCGGATTAAACACTTGATTAAGTGTTGGAAAATTTGCACAACAATCCGTCACTAAATTGGTCACCAAAACCGCCATTTATTGCTTTCTAGGCTAGTTTAAATTTTGCAATCTCTCTTGTATTTTTAAACCAATTTGTAAAGCTTGGAGGGAGTATTAAGAAGCTGGTCAGGTATATCTAAATCCTTGTTAGCATCCTCACGTGTAGTGCTAGTGGAAGTGGCTTGGAAATTTCATATGTTTCAAGCTTCCACTTAGGGAACCCGACTAGTTACTTATCTTGATTCCTTTAAGTTCTTTGTCTTTTAATTGCTTTATTTTGCTGCCTTGAAACGTCTAGACTTGTGTAGATTTACTTGCTCACGTTTAGTTTAGTCTCAAAAACAAACAAATTGTGAAAAAGCATTCAAAATTTTTGTGAAAAGTTTTGGGGAATTGGAAGTACCACAAAGGAGTTTAGTGATTTCCACTTGAAAAGGCTTGGTTATTAAGTGGCTCTTTGTAGCTCACCTCCCTTGATAGTGCAACTTGTACACTTAGACTTCCAAGTGTTATTTTCATTCCTAGAAAATACCAAAAACATTTTATAACTTTTTGCATAGCATATAAAATCTTATTGCTTAATCATGAGTCAACATTCTCAAAGTAGTAGTGACTTTGAATCTCCTAAAAGTTTTAAAAGAATTGTCAAGGAGGTTGAGGCACTAAAACTTTGGAAGCATGATGAAATACTTCAAAAACAAAAAGAAAAACTTGAAAAGGAAGTACAAATCATGGCTTTAGAACAAGAGATTCAACAAATTAAGCAACGAGAAGAAAAACTTTTGAAAAGATTAAATAAAAATAAAAGTCCAAAAGGTTCTTCTAGGAGCTCAACCAAGAGCTCCAATGATTCTCAAAGTCAAAATAATGATGGTAGTATACAAATGGATGCTTACTATCAACCTCCACCTAGGAGAGTCATTAAAGAACACAAAGTGAGGGAATCAAGGGTTGATCTCCCTTACTTTCATGGAAAAGAAGATGTGGATGCCTACTTGGATTGGGAAATGAAAGTGGAGCAAATCTTCACTTGTCACCAAGTAGGTGAAGAAAGAAAAGTTCCCTTGGCCACCTTAGCTTTCCAAGGACAAGCTATGTATTGGTGGACATCCTTAGAGAGAGAGAGAAGACTTCACAATGACCCTCCAATCACTTATTGGAATGAGTTGAGGAGTGCTATGAGAAGAAGGCACATACCTTCTTATTATAG